GATCGTGTGTGAGGGGTGCTGTCTGTGTGAGTGTTGCGGTGTGTGTGTGTGTGTGTGAGGGGTGCTGTGTGTGTATGTGAGGGGTGCTTTGGTGAAGGATGGGAGGACACACCCAGCCCTGGTGATCTGGTAGTAAGTAGCATATATCTACAGCCTGCAGCTCCTCTGGCTGCAGGCTGTCTTCACTCCTTCCACGAGCAGAATGCTGTGTCGGAGCGTTGTCACGGTAGGCAATGCACGGCAGCGCTCAGACCAGAAGGCCCGTGGGAGGAACTGCCTCCCAGCTCAAAAGATCTCCCCTGTCGGCCTGGGCACATGGACAATGGTGTGGAGTCCCAATGCGTGTGGGGCGCCTAGGCAACTGCCTAGCATGCCCATGCAGAAAGATGGCCTTACTAGTGTAGTGATTGGTAGTCATATGCTAACTATAGGCCAATTTCTTTACTTCAGGTGGACATGAATGTGTTTCCAAAGCTATTGTAAGGAATCCTATACTTACCTTAGCGGTCCGCCGATTAGCTGTTCCCCCGATTGAGCGGACCGCCTCCTTCAGTCTTCCTGCCTGATTGGCTAATCTCCTGGATGGCGGCCGCTGTGTGCATGCCCATTTTATGATGCAGCGCATGAGTGCCGACGACAGGCAATGGGCAGTACTATAGGTGGTATTTACAGACACCTTCTTACATTTAGGGGACGTGACTACATCAATCACACCCCCAAGCATGTAAAAGCACATTTAGCCAGTGTCTCTGTGCCCTGTTGTGGTTCCTAGCTTGCTAATGTCCCAAGAGTGCATTGGTTCTATTTTAATATTGACTGAGCTTTTTCTTGACTACTCTGATTTTTGGTTTCCTTGACTCGGCTCTAGTATTTCATTTTGGTTGTTCTCTGGTTACTTTTGACCAAGGCTGTTTTTGACTATTCTCATTATTTAACTTTCAGTCCGGCATTTCAGAGGACCGGTTTAGGTATTTTTATTTTATTTATTGGTGAGTTATTATTCTGTGTGTTGGGTCACCCCTTTTCGTGACAGCGGTAGCCACCTGTTCATCACATCTCTATTCCAATCATACCAAGTTGCCTTTGTTAAGAACGGAAACGATTTACATTGAGCTTCATTAGAGACATCTCCCTTAGTTTGGACAACAAATTATAATGGTAAAACAATTAAGCAGACCACACACATAATTTAATTCACCAATGAAATGTATACAGCAATCAGCAATAAAGTGTAAGCCAATGTCTCCGTGCTAAGTAAAGGAAAAATGGTTTATCATCCAAGCAATTAAAAATGAATATAACTTAGCAACATCAAACCAATGGCAACAAAATAATATAACATCTAGATAATTACAAATAAATAAATGACACTAGCAAAGTATCAAGTATAAAGAAAATAACTAGGATCTCAGTAAATAAAATGTTACAAATCCCTCCATTTTCTAGTGATTAACTCTGTAAGGTATGATTAGTTATTGAACAAATCTTCATCAGTAGTTATAGCGAACCACATATGTAATACACACTGCATTTATTGGCATCAGAAATAGTGCAAGCTTTGTCTAAGGGGTAATTCAAATTTGTAACAAGAAGAAATAATTGACAAGGCTGAAGAATGTAATCAGAGTTCCGAGAGCAGAGACTTGGCTCCTAAGAGTAAAGAAGTTTGCTACAAAGAGCTAGAAATAAAATATGCACAGAATTGCACAAGTATTTGTATCATATGCTACTATGATTATATGCCACAGCAGAGTCCTGACAGTACAAAAAATCTACTTCTAATTACATAATTTCTAACTCTGGGCATGGAGATACGCAGCCTGTGTTTATTGGTTGACATTGATATGTAAAGTGTACATCCAATATGTTTACTATAAATACCGATTCTTTATTTAGTGACAGCAAAAATGTCAGTTTTTCAACTTTCTCATACCTTGACAGCACACAACTAAATTGAATGTAATAATAAGAAGAACATAGGTTGAAAGGTAAAGTATTACTTTTCCAAATTTGAACAGGAAGGAGCTATGCATATTTAAGATTTACTGCACACTTAAAAATTATCTATAATCGCACTGCCCCAACATTCCTAGATTTTTATAAAATAATAAATACTACAGGTAAAGGAAAAAAATGCACATTATTCAATTAATATAGAAACACAGAAACATAGAATGTGACGGCAGATAAGTGTCACATCATGCCATGTTCTGCGGAGATGTCTGGCTTTGGCTTCTGGTATCCAGTACTCTTTTTTACAATTCTTGTTTAGTTTTTCTTGTTTTTTTTGTTTTTCTATTCTATGTGTGGTTTTCTTTATGCTGGGTTTTTCTGGGTTCATTCCTGTAATCCGTCCCTGGAATTCCCAGTCTCTTGGATTCATTTAAATGTTTGTTTTATGTTGCCACACCCGTTTGCTTTCCATCATTCCTTTTGTTTCAGTGTTCCTGCAGGTGTTCTATCAAATTTCCCTACCCCGTTAGAAAACCCTACCCTCGTCACTTCCGGTGACGAAGCCGCACCGGAAGTGACGTTGGGACGGGGGTGTGCGCAGCCGCGCAGGCGCACACCACCTAGGTAGGGACTTTGAACAGCGAGGAGTCGCATAAAGTGCAGTGCGCACGCGCGCCAAACTACTCCCGTCGGAGGTACAGCGCGCGTGCGCACTTGGGGACAGGGAGAGCTTCACAGACAGCGCGCATGCGCACTATAGGGGTAGGGAAATCTGATGGCGATTAAGCCCTGTGAAATCTCCCTACCCCTATACTGCGCATGCGCGGACTGGACTCTGATCGTCTGAGTAAAGCTTCTCCCTGCTCCCAACACACTCAGCCATCCAAGGGGAGGGGGTACTATATTAGGGGGGGTTTCAGTGCATTATATTGGATAGTGGGGGGTTTTCTACATTATTGTATGGGGGGTCTGCGCTGTATGGGGGGTCTCGCTATATGGGGTCTCGCTATATGGTCTGCTGTATGGGTGGTCTATATATGGGGGTCTGCACTATATATGGGGGTCCTGCTGTATGGGGGTCTGTGCTGTATGGAGGTCTGCGCTATATAAGGGGTATCGCTGTATGGGTGTCTGGCTGTATGGGGGTATCGCTGTATGGGGTTCTGTATGGGGGTCCTGGCTGTATGGGGGTCTCGCGCCAGTATGATGGGGGTATCTCTGTATGGGTGTCTGTGGCTGTATGGGGTATGCTGTATGGGGTCTCTCAAGCTGTATGGGTCTGCTATATGGGGTTTGCACTGTATAGGTCTCGCTGTATGGAGTCTCTTTGTATGGGTCTCTTGGTATATTGGGTGTCTCGTATGGGTGTCCTGTAGCTGTATGGGGGTGTATCTCGGCTGTATGGGGGGTCTCGTGGCTCATGCATGGGGGTTTAAGCTGTATGGGGGTCGCAGTATATTAGGTGTCTGCGCTGTAGATTGTCTGCGGCTGTAGGTATCGCGTGTGTATGGAGTCTGCTATATAGGGGGTCTCAAGCTGTATAGGGGGTTAAGCTGTATTTGCGCTGTATGGGTGTCTGCGCTGTATGGGGGGTCTGCGCAGTATATGGGGGGTCTGCGCTGTATCGGGGGTCTGCGCTGTATGGGGGGGGCAGTGTGTTAGATGGAGGGGCTGTTCGTTACATGTGGGGGGCTGTGCATTAGATGGGGAGCTGTACAGTACGTGTGGCCTGTGTGTGTTAGATGTGTACAACCCTAGTTTCACTGACAAATATTTATTTCCTAGATATCATATGCCAAAGCATGCTTTTTGCTATGAAGCCGCAGCCATCTAGTCACTCGCCAGAGAAGGATGAGAAACTGCACCCCAGCGAGAGGGACAGCCCCACATCTGCAACCAAATCCATCGGTCACCGAATTCAGTAATCTCCGTCTCTTTGTGCATTGTGTATGTACGGTACTCCCAATTCTTATATTTAATCCGGTGTGTCTCCCACAATCTTTGTGTCTGTCTGCATGCACTGTGTCTGTTATGCCAGTTACTCTAACTAGTTTATTTCTTTTTGTGTGTGTCACAGCTCTGACAAGCATGTTCTTCTATGGGACACGAAGTACATGAAGAGGAATGAAGAAGCCCATGTCTGATGCTCGTCTCCAGGGTGGAGTATTGAATTTATAACTAATGAAGTGGCATCTGACACATGACGAGCTGCTCCTGTTTGCACAGCAACTTCAACATTGTGTACTGTGATCACAGCATAGTTCAGAGGTAGGTAACCTTGGGCAGTCCAGATGCTGTGAATAACATCGACCATAATGCTGGCAAACCATTATGGGAGGTGTAGTCCAAAACATCTGGAATACCGAATGCGTATGAATGCAAAGTATGGTGTGTGTGAATGGTCAGTAACAAGGGTTGAAGCCTTGAAGTGGCGTTACTGCTCACATGTGTATTCATGTGCCAATTCAACCAATGTGAGTCACTGTAATACTTATAAGGTAACCAAAAGTACTGTGATTGTGGAGAATGAAACTCCTTATCCTATGAAATCTCCTATACACTGCTGACACTGTGACCGTATCCCCTAAACACTGCTCATACTGTGACCGTATCTCCTAAACACTGCTCACACTGTGACCCTATCGCCTATACACTGCTTACACTCTGACCCTATCGCCTAAACACTGCTTACACTGTAAGCACAGACATGCTTTTAATCAAAATTGAAAGCGCTAGATCATTCCTTCTGTTCTACGCCTCCAATCTTCAACATTGAAATTGTCATTTCTAATAATATAAAATAAGTAATATGCTTTCTGGTTACGATTTGGTGGGTTGTAAATATTTTTTTTATTCTTACAGTTCCAGAGGGAAGGAGCAAACCGCTTTGAGGAGTCCCTGCATAAGAGACTATTGGATACTGAAGGGCTGTACTGCAGTGTCGGCTCTAGACTTGGCGAGGCCTTAGGCGAAACTCATACATGAGACCCCACGGAGAACACCATTATTGAAGAAAAAATAGCAGTTGACTTTGTGTATAAGAAGCTGTAGATATATTGATGGTGGAGCTCAGTGGTGTATCCTGGTTTTGTGCTGACCTAGGCAGGACAAAACTCAGGCGCCCCCCTCCCCCGCCCCGCATTCTAAATACACACACACACACACACACACACACACAGATATGCATACATTAGCTAACAGAAACTGACACACTCACTAACAGACACAGTCAGACACACACACACACTAACAGACACACTCACACTCTCTAACAGACACACTCAAATTTTTTTTTTAATTTACACCCCCAGCCTCCTTACCTTTGCTAATGCTGGGGGGGTTCTCTATCTCCCTGGGGTCTAGTGGGGCTGCCAGTCGGGCTGCTGGGGCGGCAGACGGGCAGCTGGCGAGGGAGCACTTCCTCTGAGTTGTCTGCTTAGCTCCCTCACGCGCTGCATTGTGAGGCTGGGAGCCGGAATATGACGTCATGTTCCGGCTACCAGCCTCACTCTGTGGCGCGCGAGGGAGCTGAGCAGACAGCTCAGAGGAAGTGCTCCCTCGCCATGCCGCCCGCCAGCCCAGCATGTCAGTTAGCCACAAGGCTAACAAGGCATTTGCCCTGGGCATTTGGGGGCGGCAAAAAAAGCCGCCCCCAAATGCCCTGGGCAAATGCCTTGTTTGCCTCGTGGCTAAAACGTCCCTGGTGGAGCTTGCAGCACTGGATACACAGAGCTAGTCTCTGTTTACATCATTGCATTGTCTACCCGAGTGTGTGTATCTGACAGTGAGTATCCTTGTATCTGTATGTATGTTTCTCTGAGCATGTGTATGTTTGTGTACTGACTGGCCTTTGGCACTGAGTTTATAGCGTAGCTATGTTTTATGACGGTGTGTATAATGATTGCCTTTGGGGGGGTGACAGGGTGAGTAAAGGGGTAACTGTGGCAGGGTGAATGTAAAAGAGCAGGAGGGTGCCTGCGTGTTGAGGGTTGACGGTGTGCATGGAGGGAGGTGCCAGAGTGCGGAGAGTGGTGGCCGGGTGGGGAGGGTGACATAGTGTGAGAGGGAGGGTGATGAGGTGAGGGGGGAATGAGAGAGTAAGAGAGGGGTGACGTAATGTGAGAGTATGGGTGACACAGTAAGGGTGAGTGACAGTGAGGGTGGGTGACATAGTGTGAGGAGGATGACAGAGTGAGGGGGTGATGGTGAGGTGACCGTAAGAGGGGGGTGACAAGGGGTGATGAGGTGAGGTGACAGTAAGGGAGGGGTGACAATAACAATATCTGATATTAGGTCACATGTGCAATTATTATGTAATTAATGGACAACATACTTTTTCAATTTTGTTAAATAAGAAATTTAAATATTGTTTGTCTTTTTTATATTGCCACTTTAAAAAAAATTAAAACTCTTAATTTTTAAATGTACAGTAATTTGTCTGTAATAATGTTAACTTGTTAATTATTGTGGGACAGTGGAGAGCAAACCCAAACTGGGACTCTACTAAACAATCCAGGTCTGTTAGGAAATATGGCTTTGTAACAACATATGATAATTTATGGTGCATATAGGTCCTCGTGTCACTGTGCCTATGCATAGTTTTGCTTATAAATGTGATGACTTTCAAAAGATAGCAATAAGCATAGTAAGAAGTTGCTCTTTAAAAGCTTACGTCATCTCGTTTAAATGGTTTGGGTGCAGTGCCAATGTCCCCTTAATCTTGCAATGTTAAATATCGCAGTTTCTGATAAACTACAATGGAACGCAGCTAGTGATGGTATTATTTGTAGCTAAGTAACACAAATCGCATGTTAAGGTGTCAGCAAAATACTTTATTTCTTCAAAATTAATATGCATTTTAGACTTTATATGTATAGTGGAAAAAATATAAAAGTCAAATTTGGAAACTGGTTAAGAAAAGTCACACTGTGGTATCCAAGAAGGAGAAAGTTCAATCACATGATCACATGTAAAGAAAGGCTGTATGGCATTAGGAAGGTAGTATCTTAATAATGTAATGGTCTCTTTCCCTGGACGGTCCACGAGTCTTAATCACTGGAAAATGAAGGTTACATCATGTCTGCACCATGTGTTCCGAAACAGCCATAAGGACGTTTTCTATAGAAGAAGGTAATCTCTTCTGTTTGAGCAGGTCGAGGTTAATGGTGGTGGGGTTGTCTCTGGCACTGGAACCATCAGTAAAGGAGTGTAAAATTGAGAGGATCACCTTGTTCTTCCCACAAATGTAAGAAAACACAGAACAGAAGAGTGAGGAGAATGGTTAACAAATCAATGAAACCGCAAACACTAAAACAAACTTGAAAAAAATAACATTCACAGTGTAAGCAGTGTTTAGGCGATTGGGTCACAGTGTAAGCAGTGTATAGGAGATACGGTCACAGTGTCAGCAGTGTATAGGAGATACGGTCACAGTGTCAGCAGTGTATAGGAGATACGGTCACAGTGTCAGCAGTGTATAGGAGATACGGTCACAGTGTGAGCAGTGTTTAGGAGATACGGTCACAGGGTAAACAGTGTGTAGGTGATACGGTCACAGTGTCAGCAGTGTATAGGAGATACGGTCACAGGGTAAACAGTGTGTAGGTGATACGGTCACAGTGTCAGCAGTGTATAGGAGATTTCATAGGATAAGGAGTTTCATTCTCCACAATCACAGTACTTTTGGTTACCTTATAAGTATTACAGTGACTCACATTGGTTGAATTGGCACATGAATACACATGTGAGCAGTAACGCCACGTCAAGGCTTCAACCCTTGTTACTGACCATTCACACACACCATACTTTGCATTCATCCGCATTCGGTATTCCAGAGGTTTTGCACTACATCTCCCATAATGGTTTGCCAGCATTATGGGAGATGTAATTCACAGCATCTGGACTGCCCAAGGTTACCTACCTCTGAACTATGCCGTGATCACAGTACACAATGTTGAAGTTGCTGTGCAAACAGGAGCAGCTTGTCATGTGTCAGATGCCACTTCATTAGTTATAAATTCAATACTCCACCCTGGAGACGAGCATCAAACATGGGCTTCTTCATTCCTCTTCATGTACTTCGTATCCCATAGGAGAACATGCTTGTCAGAGCTGTGACACACACAAAAAGAAATAAACTGGTTAGAGTAACTGGCATAACAGACACAGTGCGTGCAGACTTGCGTGCCACATACATACAGCAGACAGACACAAAGATTGTGGGAGACACACCGGATTAAATATAAGAATTGGGAGTACCATACATACACAATGCACAAAGAGACGGAGATTACTGAATTTGGTGACCGACGGATTTGGTTGCAGATGTGGGGCTGTCCCTCTCGCTGGGGTGCAGTTTCTCATCCTTCTCTGGCGAGTGACTGGATGGCTGCGGTTTCATAGCAAAAAGCATGCCATGGCATATGATATCTAGGAAATAAATATTTTTCTGTGAAACTAGGGTTGTACACATCTAACACACAGGCCACACGTACTGTACAGCTCCCCATCTAACGCACAGCCCCCAAATATAATACACTGCACGCCCACATGTAACAAACAGCCCCTCCATCTAACACACTGGCCCCCACATTTAACACACAGGCCACCCCAATATATTTCACAGACCACCCAATATACTGCGCAGCCCCCCCATATACTACGCAGACCCCCATATACAGCGCAGACCCCCCCATACGGCGCAGACCCCCCTATACGGCGCAGACCCCCATATATAGCGCAGACCCCCATACAGCGCAGACCCCCATATATAGCACAGACCCCCCTATACAGCGCAGACCACCCTATACAGCGCAGACCCCCATACAGCATAGACCCCCCTATACAGC